TACCATTGTATTGGGTGTGTTGGGGACACAAGAGACTCTTTGTTATTTGGTTGCAGGGTTGCTTGAGAGAGACCATCTTCATCCTACGCCTCCTACGGATTGATAAACCTTAGGTCATCTACTTGAGGGAAATTTGCTATTGTCCTACGAACCTCTGCACTTGCAGGCCCAACAACGTCTACAAGAAGAAGGTTGTGTAGTAGACATCAATCTACCTCTGCCAGATTTTGTACTTGCAATTGGCAAGAACAAGGGGAGGTACGCCCCCTTGCCTGTGTTGGGTGCAAGCATTTGCTTTGTGTGTGCATGTGTGTCTGCAGATACTGCTTACGTTGTCTATGTGTCATCTCCTTCTGGTTTGATAACCTTGGTTCTTAACCGAGGGGGATACTATATGCTACTATACTACATCACCCTTCCTCTTCGAGGAAATTCAACAACTATCACAAGTAGCAGAAGAATTTATGGCGTCGTTGCCAGGGAAGCTTCACCAAACAAATTAGTGCATTCGCACAAGATTGAAGACAAAAGAGGGGATGCCTTCCGGGGCATCCCCAACTTCCGGGACAAAAGTGCTTCTGCCCAAGTTCCGCCTCAAGACGGCAGCGTTCCATTCCGTCCCGAAAGTCCTCTCTTTCTTTTTTTCTAGGGCAAATGGGTTAATATACCAGAAGATGGGCATCGGAGGTTGGCCAGGGGCCCACAAGCCACCAGGGTGTGCCCTGGTGCCTCATGGGCACCTGGGTGGCCCCCTCTACTATTTCTTTCTTCTAGTATTTTGTATTTATTCTAAAATAATTCTCTGTGAAATTTCAGGTCATTTGGAGATGTGCATAATAGGTATCCCTGACATAGCTTTTTCAGTTCAGAATTCCAACTGCCGGCAATCTCCCTCTTCATGTAAATCTTGCAAATTAGGAGGGAAAAGACATTAGAATGACACTACAAAGTCTTATATTGGCCAAAAACAATATAAATAATAGTAGGAAATCGTGATGCAAAATGGACATATCACAAACGATTTTAGGCAACGTTTCCTGTTTCCTCACCAGGGTTTTTGTCACTAAATAGACCAAAGTTTGTAGTGTTTTTGCTAACGCGGAGGAGAATGGTAATATGCCCGGAGTAAAAGTCAGCAGAGATGCCCCGACGATTTCTAATCTTGTCTTTGCTGATGATTCTTTAATCCTTATGGGAGCTAATGCCATGAACACGGAGGCGCTGAAAGTAGCCTTGGATGCCTATTGTGTCGCCTTGGAACAAATGTGAGCATGGAGAATCAAGCATCTTCTTTAGTCCCAATACGAAAGTGGAAGACAAGGCGCAAATATGTACAATCCCCAATATTACTCCCTCCGTCCCTTAATATAAGAGCGTTTCTGACACTAGTGTAGTGTCAAAAACGCTCTTATTCATCCCATAATATAAGAGAGTTTCTGACACTAGTGTAGTATCAAAAACGCTCTTATATTATGGGGCGGAGGGAGTATGACTGAAGCCCTCAATGAAAAATATTTGGGTTTGCCAGCTAACATGGGTATGGACAAAAGTAAATGTTTTCATTTCCTAATTGATCGAATTATTATGAAAATTAGTGGACGAAAAGAAAAATTATTGTCTGTTGGAGGAAAGGAAACTCACCTCAAATCTGTTGTACAAGCTATTCCAACCTATGCCATGTTGGTCTTTAAAATTCCTAAGAAAATTTGTAGAGGAGCCACTAACGCGGTGTCGCAATTTTGATGGGGTGACGAAGACAACCAGAAGAGAGTGCATTGGATGGTGTGGTAAAAAATGTGTTTGCCGAAAGATCAGGGATGTATGGGTTTCCGAGATATATATTGTTTCAATATCACTTTGCTAGCTAAACAAGTGTGGCATCTTCTTGACAACCCTAATTTTTTATGTGCATCTATCTTGAGAGCTAAATATTTCCCTCATGGAGACCTGATGAATGGAAGCTTAAAAAGGGGTTCCTCTTTTATTTGGCAAAGCATTATGGCGGAAATTAATTCACTAGAAAAATGGGTATATCTAGAGGGTGGGAAATGGACAAAATATCGATATTTGGAAAGATGCTTGGAATCTAAATTGTGCAAATAGGAAATCATTACCCTGAGGGGAGAGAACCTCTTGTCAAAGATTTCTGATCTTATTGACCCAACAACGAATTTGTGGGATAAAGACCTGGTGAGACAACGATGTGACCAATTGATGTGCAATTAGTCCTCACAACCCCTTTTTCTATGCATAACGTGTCGAATTTTATTGCGTGGAGCTATACAAAAAAATGGGTTGTTCACTGTTCGACCAGCTTATTTGGTAGAATGGAACCTCCAATGCGTGGCAAAATTGTAATATACTAATGGGATGGGGCGAATTAATGTCAATACCATTTGGGGTAAGATTTGGAAATTATCGTGTATGACGAAGGTTAAAAAATTTGTTTGGCGTATGTTGCATGGAACTCTCTCGTGTCGTGTTACACTTGTAAATAGACACATGAAAGTTCTACCCTTTTGCCCATACTATTCAAATGGGCCAGAAGGTACAAAGCATTTGTTGTTTCTATGCCAGAAAGTAAAGGAGGTTTGGAATAAGCTAGGAATGTACGAGGTGATTAACAAAGCCTGCACTATTGAACGTGCGAGAGAGGCAGTACTCGAATTTCTGCTTCTTTTGCCAGACCAGGATCTTTGTATAATGGGACTTCACAATGCTCGTGAAGTGATTGCCATCACCGCTTGTATGGTGGGATAGATGGAAATTAGTTCACGAAGGAAAGTCTCAAGATGCGTACTAGAGATCTATGAGGGTTCGTGCTATAACGACAAACTTTGTTAATGCCCACACCCCTAATGCTTCCAGGAAAAAGGTGGTGGATTAGACCCCGACGGGTTTTGTTAAGATTAACGTGGATGCGTCTTTTAATCATGATCTTCTTAGGGGCACAGTTGGAGTTGTTCTTAGAGATGAAAAAGGAAATTTCATTGTTGGCAGATACTGAAAGATTGATTAGTGTGTGGATGTTCTGACAGATGAAGTTTTGGCCCTTAGATTGGGCTCATCTCATTCTCTTGCACAAAAAGAGGGATGTAACCGGCTTTTTATTAACTCAGACAAATATGGAAGTAATTGATACAATGAAGAATGAAGGACGGTCTACGGGAGCGACGGCGGTAGGTTTTGATGATTGCTATTTTCTGACAGAGTTATTTACCCAAAACCATCACACTTGAGGCTACGGTAACTACTTGATACCACATTTGAGTCAGGGCACAAAAAACCACCAAAATTGCGCCTAATCTGTAACGCGGAGCACTGATGCTTGAATTCGGTCACGAAGACAGCGAATCTGACCGGTTGGGCCCACCTGGCCGGCTGATGTGGCATGCCTACCTGGATAATTTGTTGAGGTGGCCAAAGGCCCCATCTGTCAACCTCTGTCTTATTCACCCCCTCTCTCTCCCCCCAAAGCCACCTTCTTCCCCACCCACCCCGACACAGCCGGCCATATCCAGCGCCGCCGCCAGAGCCTTACCCCGGCGATCCTTCCCGTCGTCCATGGCCTCCCGTCGGGTGCGACCAGGCCCCTCCTCGCGGACGAGCAAAGCACGGGGGTGGCCATGGCCTCCCGTCGGGCACGACCAGGCCCTCCTGGCGAACAAGCAGAGCACGGGGGTGGCCATGGACTCCAGTCGGGCGCGGCCAGGCTCTTTTGGCGGACGAGCAGAGCACGGGGGTGGCCATGCCCTCCCGTCGGGCGCGGCGACCACGGGGCATGGCCACGGCGCTCCACGACGGCGCGCTCAGCCAAGGCCTCCATGCGTGAGCCGCGAGCACGGGCGTGGCCAGAGCGCTCCACGGAAGCGCACGCATCCAGGGCCTCCCGGCGGGCACCGTGCGCACGGTCGCGTCTAGGGCACTCCACCACGGCACCCCTCCCCCCTCTGTACGGTCGCGACCAGGGCCTCTGGCGGTCGCCGCGAGCATGAGTTCCGGCCGAAACTCGTTGGATCCAGGCGCAGCAGAGGGTTGGGCGGCGCGGCGAGGTCGAGTTCATCCATTGCGCGGGAATGGCAGTTGCTCCTGATTGAGAGAGAGGGAAATCAGGGAGGAAGGAGGAGGAGAAAAACAAAGGGGCGGCGAGGGGAGCTCCAGCAGCTTGACATCGGCGGCCAGGTCTCAGATGGCCGTCGACCAGCAAGGGCGGCGAGCCGCGCCGGCGGCGCCCAGTGTGCTGATAAGCCCATTACCTGTTTGTTGAAATGCCCACAAGAAAAAAAATTTAAAGGAGACAAACATATGAGTCACTTACAGGTGGGTCCCTTGTCCAACTCAGCATATTGTCCACACAAGCATGCCACGTCAGCCTGGCAGGTGGGCCCAACTTGTCAGTTTCACTGTTTTCGCATGCTTATCAGACAATCAGTGCTCCCCATTAGTCATTAGGCACAAAATTGGTGGTTTTTTGTGCCCTGTCCAAAAAGTGGTACTAAGTTGTTACCCTAACCCCAAGTGTGGTGGTTTTGGATAAATAACTCTGTGTTTTTCCTCTTAGTAGTTTTGAATATTGTAATAGAGAGGCGAACATGGTCACTCATGAACTTGCTAGGTTAGCAAAATTTTCAAACAGTAGGGATTTGTTTGAGGAGCTTATGGATGAAATTTTACCTTTTATTACAGACGATGTAACCGTTATTTCTAATTAATAAAGTCTTATCTTTCAAAAAAAAATGTAAGTAGTCATCATGTTCAGTTGCAAGCTCAAGGCTGGAAGCATCACAAGATTAAATAAAATCCACACCTTCAGATTTCTTTAGTTCCTAACACTAATTGGTCGATAAAATCTCATAGCCAAAGACCTAGCACCAAAATAGGAAATGTAGTTGTATAAAGTTATATTAAAGTTGATACGGTTATTTTAGGGCAGAGGGAGTACATAACTGATCATAGGGTTCTTATCCTTTATGCAACTTTTTCTTTAGAACACTCCACTACTATTTCAGCACCATATCAAATATGCTGTCTCCCTTCTCTGCTGCTGCTGGTGATACTTCGCCGGCTGCCTTTGTCCTTCTCTGCTGCTGGCACCTGTGGAAAAGGCGGAGCGTCGTCTTCAGAGAAGCTACCTCCTCCCTTGATCTCACCTTTAAAGCCTGCCACGACGATGCCATGCTCTGACAAGGGAGCTTCAAGCCATTGACGTCCCTTGCTCAATGGCCGGGCGCACATTGACGTCCCTTGCTCAAGGGCGGCCTCCTTGAGCCTCGCGTCTTCCCTCTTGGCCTAGGCCGTGTGTGTGGTATGTAAATTGATACCATCTTTGCCTCAAAACGGTTTCATTAACACTTCATACAGGGTAGAAAGAATCTTAGAGGAAGCACTCGCTAAGAACCTCAACAAACGCTCATGAAGCCGCGCCTTACATTCCCTCAATCCTCCTCCATCTGCCGGAATACATACATCACCAAAAACCACTCAAATTTGTTGCAGAACACAAACAATATCTTGCTGAGGCTCATGGCACATAGACATAGATACGCAAATCATATTCGTTCACAAGTACTGAAAGGTATCAAACAGCCTACTACTACTACCACAGCACAACGTTTCAGTCTCGGGACACAAATGAAGTACACCACATTTTTGAAAAATAAAACGCAAACACTACGGATAGTTCTTTTTGGCCAGATGGTCAGACCTTATTCCAGCAGTCGTAGGGAAATGAATTATGGCAAACGAGTCTATCCCGTCAGTAATTCTCTTCTTCACTGACAATCTCTGCCTCTTGGTCCACGGGAACTTGAATGGCTGCTTTCGAGAATTGTCAAGGCACTTCCTACAAGCCAGCCTATGATACAGGAACACCTCCTCCAGATTCGCCGCTGCTTCCATTACACGCCTAATATAGCTCACCATGTACTTTTCAGATTGGAAGCCAAATATGACGAGCGTAACCAGATTCTCATGATGGAAGTCAGAAGCAGATGATTCCCACTCTACACCCTTCTCCTCGCTAAACAAGTGTTCCTTCCTCTTCTCCTCATCTGTTACCATTTTACAAAGATGGTCCCACACCTGCACGTCATAGGACAGAGGTTAAACAGAAACAGGTTATTAATTTTGAATACCCTTTGTAATTCACATAGAAGGCCTCTCAGAGCGGGCAGCATAAATGTGCATGTTACTTTCAATGTGAAGTTGTGTACATTAAATTTTCTTTCTTTTTTTGCGCTATGAAACTACACATCTCTCATCATTAATTATAGTGCCACGTTATCTTTTTGCTTAGGTGGCACTACGTGACTACAAATGCGTCCAGGCCGGCGTGTCCGCGTACAAAACATGATACACATGCAATACGCATATCCCCAGAGTATCCCCTTCTCCGGTCAAAAAAGGAAAGAACCAAAAGGCTGATATGCCGCCGGGACACCATCAACACGTCGTACATGGGACATGGAAGCACAGCCAGCACAGTAAAAGCCCGCCTCTATTCGGTTGATTGAACAAGCACAGGAATGAATGGCTGGCTGGCCGCTGGGCACTTGCTTGCTGGTTGATGTGTGCTTGCTTGCTGAGGCGTTTCTGCGAGCTGCTGCATGCTTGCTGGCTTGCTGCTGGGCACTGACTGCTGGCGCTGAGTGCTGGCTTGCTGCTTTGCTCTGCTGATGTGATCTTGCTGTTGTTGAGGCTAAGGAGCGACATACCTAAATGGCATCTGCGGGCACGTAGCACAAGCAGGGGCGGAGAGAGGGGACGGGAAAAAAGTGGCTATACGCCCCCCCCAAATGACTCGCCCCACTCAACAATTCAAGGCAGTAAATCGCAGTATTGTGCAAGGATCCGTATTGATGGTCGTATATAATCACTAATTAACTACTGCTCATATTACGTGAAGACCTGATCTAAAGGATTCCTGCAGCTATGCACCTTAGTCTGCACCAAAGCTCACCCAAAAAGCCCATTGGTAGCCATTGTGCAAGTCTAAAAAATCTTCTAGCTTTTCTGCCTCATTTACCTACAACTGAGCGCTGCATGTCGCTGATATATTCAGAGATCACATGGCCACTCGCTGCTACGCCAGTCACTGGGCTCTAGGAGACACAAGAAACACTGCCATGGCACACCATCATGACCACTCCATCACTGTTGTTTCTGCAAACGTGCCAATGCGCTGTGCCATTAAGTTGATTACCATATACTTGATCAAATGCTAGTTCCAAAGGTATAATAGTACTTTTTCTCATGTTACAATCTACTAGTCTTTTTTCTACAACTTGCATAAAGATATTGAATTTATTTACTATTGATTAGATGCATGTTTTAATTTGCAAACGTTATAAAACCTTATTCACTTAAATTTAAACATCAGTCAACATGCAATTGCGTTCTTTGTTTAATATAAGTCTAATGTAGTGGCTTAGTGCAACTTTAGCGTGCAATATATGTCACAGGTGAGATAGGAATGCTTGGATGTGAATCCAAATGCGTAGAAAAATGTCAAAAGAAAAACTTACCAACTTGTAACTAAACAAGTCTTAACAACATTT